CTCTTTCGTTTTGGGTCCACATTTCATTATGGCATGTTTTATCTCATACGTTTGTTTCCAAATTCTCCCGTTATTATTGTGCTTAGATTCATTCATTTTCCTGATTCTGCTCGATTCTCCAGGATTCCTCTGGTATATTCTGGGATAATGACAGCTTAGCTGCTCTACTGGCGTTGGAGCTAAAAGCGGATCTTCTCATTTTGTTGAGTGACGTGGATGGGCTTTACAGTGGGCCCCCAAGTGATCCAGGATCTAAGCTTATCCACACATATATCAAGGAAAAACATCAGGGTGAAATTACCTTTGGAGACAAGTCTAGGGTGGGAAGGGGAGGTATGACTGCAAAAGTAAAGGCTGCTGTTAATGCAGCTTCCGCTGGAGTTCCTGTTATCATCACCAGGTATGGTTTATGTAATACTCTTATCCTTGGTTTGTCAGGAGTATTAATCCTTGGTCTTGAAGATAAATGCATGTGCACCATATCTTTCTCTCGTTAAAGATAAATATTTTCCTTCCATTAATTGTTATAGGACAAATAAGGTTAATTTGTTCATTTAGGGATTTAGGGATAAAAAAAGCTGTACAACACGCTTAAGATTTCTCAGACGTTACATTTAAGAAATCTCTAAGTAACTTTTCCTAAGTAGAATTATAATAGGAAATATCAATTTAATAGGATTACCCTCCTTTTGAAGGAAAAAAAGTGTGAAATAAATAGAAAAGAAAAAGCATTGAACACTTACCCCATGAGACTATACTTCAATGTACAAGATGATACGCCACGGAATAACGTTTTCATTTTCACTAATAGAAATCAGAGTGTTAGGGAAGGAAGAAGATCCTACGCCGAAAATCCTTTATACTATTAATTCTAAGAAGAATAATAAATCTTAAATTGCTAAAACTATAATAATACTTCTAAATAATATAATAGTAGATTTCTAAACAGTATAGTTGTTTTACACTTAATATAATTTCAATTTCTAATTTTCTTAGGAAATCTATTGTTAATCCATTCTGCATCATTAATAGATGAAAATTCGCTGGAAATAAGAAGATTCTATTTTGACGTTCAAGCAACTAAAATGTTATTCAGTTTACACCCTCTCTCACTCTCAACATAACATTAAGAATATGTGAGAGGATTCTTTGAAAACAGAATATACCAAGAGATAGATGAGATGTAGCCATAAGTTTCTCGTCATCTTTAAAACTCGATAGCTTGTTCTACTTCTGACATTTTCCCGTTTGCAGAAGTGAACTGAATACTTGTGGGATGTTTTCTTTCTTTGTTTTGCATTTTGGTTAACAGTTGATAGAATAGCTATATAGACATAATGTTCACGCAGGGTAAGGTTATGTGACTGCTCAGCCAGCAGATGCAGTTGTATTCTACAATAATTTTCTTTTTGTCTTGTTGCTTTTGAAGTGGATATGCTGCTGGAAACATACTTAAAGTTCTTGAAGGACACTGCATTGGTACTCTCTTCCATAAAGATGCTTGTACGTGGGTCTCAGTTGAGGAACTTGGTGGGCAGGACATGGCAGTTGCAGCTAGGGAAAGTTCCAGACGGCTTCAGGTAACTTCATTGTTGCTTCATCCTTCCAAGTGTTTAACATGTTTTTGGGCTAATAGAATATTTGTGCTGATTCTGCGCTGAGGTTTTTCACTTCTATAATTTAGTGTCTGAAAGCATATACTTGGCTTAAAGAATGGTGATAATTTTTTCTGCAGGCCTTGTCTTCAGAGGATAGAAAAAGGATATTACTCGACATAGCTAATGCACTGGAAGCAAATGAGAACTTGATCAGGGCTGAGAATGAAGCAGATGTTGCTGCTGCACAAGAAGCGGGATATGAGAAGTCCTTGGTATCTCGGCTGGCCTTAAAGCCTGGAAAGGAAAGAGCATGCGGTGTTTTCTAATTTTATTGGGATGATTTTTTTCCCATGGAACTATTTGCTATCATTGATGTCTGTTCAGCTATATTTACAGCAAAAGAATCTCTGGCTGTACTTCTGCTTATATGAAATTTTATTGTGATTAACAGATTTCAAGCCTTGCAAAATCAATTCGTGTGCTTGCAAACATGGAAGATCCTATTGGTCATGTTTTGAAGAGAACCCATGTAAGTAGAGTTGCCTAATGAGTTCAAGTTACAGGTACCCTGCTGCTCTATTGTTATTGCATTGACTAAAAAGCATAGGATATTAATACAACTCGTACATTTACTGGGAAAATATATTAAAATGGCTATTTCCTATTATCTGGGAAATGCCCCGGAATCTGCTTTGTGGAATAATTTCTAATGACTCTGATCATTAATCTAATCCAAATTGCAGATGGGCTCATCCTTGAGAAAACTTCATCTCCCTTGGGCGTTCTTTTGATTGTCTTTGAGTCTCGGCCTGATGCTTTAGTACAGGTTATTAGGATTATTTAAAGAATCCATGTGCTTTTAACTCAGCTGATCTGTTTCTTCTATTAATGAAGGCAGGGAATGATGGATTCATATTTTGTTCATATATGTTTCTCTTGCCTCACCACAAGTTTATTCCTTTATTTATGATTTTAAACAGATAGCTTCATTGGCTATTCGAAGTGGCAATGGACTGCTTTTGAAAGGGGGAAAAGAAGCCAAGCGATCGAATGCAATTTTGCACAAGGTTTTCGTCTATTACGGCATTTGTTGAATTTTGATGTTCTTTTTCTTTCCCCTTTCCTTTTCTTTTTCCAAGTTCTGTCTTATTATCAAATAAAAACTTCTAATGTCCTGTCATCCATGATAAATTTCTAGGTGATAATTGAAGCTATTCCAGATAGTGTTGGGGGAAAGCTTATTGGACTTGTGACCTCAAGAGACGAGATACCTGATCTACTGAAGGTGGAAAATACGAGAGCTGATGGTTTCTGGACATGTGACTTTATGAGTGGTTATTTAACCCTTAATACTTATATGGAACTTTGTATGTGAATGTGCAACAGCTTGATGATGTAATTGATCTTGTGATCCCGAGAGGGAGCAACAAGCTTGTTTCTCAGATAAAAAATTCAACTAAAATTCCTGTTCTGGGTCATGCTGGTGAGAGGATTATATTTATATTTTTAATGTTTTCCCTCTATGTTTGCTCTGAACGTTGTTTATTTAATATTCTGAGAAGGGATTTAATGCTGGCTAGGTACTATAACTTTATTTTTTGCTTCCCAGATGGAATTTGCCATGTATATGTTGATAAGTCTGCTAACTCAAATATGGCAAGGCGCATTGTTCTGGATGCAAAAATTGATTACCCAGCAGCATGCAATGCAGTGGTAAAGATTTCTTTTGTTGTTTTTTGCTGATTATCTTACATGAAATTTATCAATTATTAGTAATCAGAATAGTTTGTCTTTTCATTCATGGTTCGGACTAGTCTCATTGTTTTATTTGTGTTTCTAATTTTGCTCTCTCAGGAAACACTCCTTGTACACCAGGAGTGGGAGCAGAATGGTGCTCTCCATGATCTTATTGTTGACCTTCGAACTGAAGGTAGGGCTTCGAATGCAAACAATGTCACCTGTTTTTGCATAAAGAATTTAACTCTAGGATATCTTTCTACTTTTTGCTGAAAACTCTTTAGCTGTACTATGTGGATGACAGCAAAGTTCCATATATTGTCTGTAGGTGTTGTTTTATATGGTGGACCAAGGGCTAGTTCCATGCTGAATATTCCTGAAGCACCTTCATTTCATCATGAGTACAGTTCATTGGCTTGTACAATTGAAATTGTGAATGATGTCTATGAAGCCATTGATCACATTCACCAACATGGAAGGTATATAAATTTTATGATATATATAAATTTGTTATCCCCAACTCCCGAACTAACCTAAAACACATTGAAGGTGGATCATTTTTCTACTCTCTTTTTTGGCAGTGCACATACTGATTGCATCATCACAGAAGATAATGAAGTTGCAGAATTGTTTTTGCGTCAAGTTGACAGGTAGAAACCTTAGAATTGTCTATTTTAGAAAGAATATCTTTGTCGTTAACCTAGCATCTATTACGTCTGCCTGGACTTGTATGTAATAGATTGTTGATGTGCAAGATGCGCTATATCACGAACTTGGTTTTTATGTGAATAATTTCTTTGAACTCCAATTTCGATAGTTTTTTGTCTCGTAATTAGAGCTTCTTTTGCATTGGCAGTGCTGCTGTTTTCCACAATGCAAGCACAAGATTTTGTGATGGTGCTCGATTTGGACTGGGTGCAGAGGTATTATATCAAATAGGATCTCTTTTTAAGAATATTACATATGATCAAGGTCCTTTTGTTATTGTTTTCTAAATCTTTCAATGCCCATATAGGTTGGGATAAGTACGAGCAGGATTCATGCTCGAGGTCCAGTTGGAGTTGAAGGATTGTTAACAACAAGATGGTGAGAGGCTTTATAATGTTTGTTTCCAACAAAACGTAGCTTGCCGTCATTTTCCTTGCTACACATACTTGTACACATGTTTTGCACAACCAGTTTGAATACACATATTTCATAAATCTCCCCTGCAATTAAGATAAGAATTTTATTTTCATGGAATTATATGGGTATTGAAGCCATTTAGCATCCCGACACATGTTTCAAGTGGCTTTCAAAGCGGCTTTCCTCCCATTTGACCCATGTTCTTTACATGTGTGTATTTTGGACACGATAGTGATCTGCCTAGGAAAAACGAGTAAAGATTTATCGAGTATGATTTTGGTAGACCTCAAAGTTGATGAAGTGAATATATCCGCACATATAAAGGATAAATAGCTTGAGTGAGGTAGATTTTCCTTGGTGTCGGCACTCAGCTAGTTGATCAGTATTTTTGAATTGCAAAATACTGAGTGCTTGCTATCTATAGCTCACAGTCCATGTGTTGTTATTTCAGATGGACTTCTTATATAGTTGTGCCAACATGACCAATTACAAATTTTCATAAATTTTGCATGACTGTAGCCAATGAATGCCTATGCAAATAACATTTGTTTCTTTTTACCTTAACCATTGATGTTCCCCTCTAAACATGCAGGATCCTGAGAGGAAGTGGGCAAGTGGTGGATGGTGATAATGGTGTGATCTATGACCACAAAGATTTGGCCATCGAATCTTAAGTCTGTTCCCAGTAGTTAAATAAACCTGAGAGAGAGAAGGAAAGACATGTTAGAGGCTTTTAGTTATTTGATATCTTCATGTACTGTTTTAAGTCAGAAGTTTTGAATTCTTGCCCACAGGAATATTTTATATTTTTCTCTTTAGGTTTGGGGTTGTACACCCTAGAAGGATTGAAACCCAAGCACCGTAACCTCTGGTACTTTATGACCTCTGAGCTACTTGGCGTGGGTCCATCCACTCTTAGAAACAGATGCTCTGATGTCCTAGGAGATTATGGCAATCCATTTATTTATGGAGATTGTTGCTTGCAATTTGGGTATTTTTTTTAGTGTTCCTTTTACAAGAACTAACACCTTTTTTACAATTTTGAATCTTGGAATCAATAAGATGAAATTAAGGGTATGACACTAAATTTTTTGTTTAAGAATAAACTTTTTTCTTCGGGAAATATGAAGCTGTGTTAGTTTGGTATACATTTATCGAAGAAATTTATGAACACTTGCTAAACTTGCACTCTCGGTATTGTACAAAATTAAAAGAAAGAAACTCAGTAAGCTTGACATTTGCTAAACATGTCAGAAAAATATAAAACATTACTGGAGAAAGTATTATTTTTGTTATTATTAGTGATTCAGGTTGTAGTTTGAAAAGCATATAACATGATTATTCAGAGTCAGGTTCAAATCACGGTGATGGTGAGAACCACATAACCAGTACTGTTTTTTGACTGAATTTATGCAATCCTTTAAAATTTAAAACCACAGTTGATATTAACCTCGGTTGAACTTTAAGAATTCTGATTTGATTGATTAAAAATTTTGGTAAATTGCTTAATATTATCTAAACAAAAGAATACTACACAACTGGGTAATTAGAAGATCCCTTAATGTGAAGCAACCTAAAGATCTAATATTCTTCTCCAGATAAAATCTAGCATTAAATAGTCTAGAGCTTCAAAAACCAAACAAAAACTTCCGAATAAATAAGAATTTTGATACTTGACCAACTCAGCAACTAGTACATGTCGGTGTAAGAAGGAAAAAAGATGAAGCGAACATGCTCAATGTAATCTTTCAATGAAACTCATGCTTCAACAAACTTCTTTAGGTTCTTTAACCAAAGCAGGTATTCCCGGCTATCTTTGTTGATCATGTACTCATGTAGGAAATTTGTTGTGCTTGGCTTTATTCCTCTAAGCTCCAAATATTTATGGAACGCCTTCTGCAAATTCTCATCCAAATCACTGCAAACAAAGAAAATACTTTACCTAAGATACAAGGGAGGAAACTTGTATTGTGCTACCAATTCATTAGCATGGGAAGTTAAGACTCACTTGAAATCAGGACCCTCGTATGCAATTTGCTCCTCGGGAGAATTCTCTGGATGTCTAACTGCCAACCCGTCAATTGAAATCTTGTCAGGAAATGCAGTGCAGCTAAACTCCAGACTTGGTCCACTCCTTTTAGTGACTGTAACAACTAGCGGGATGCTGGATTGAGTTGCGTTCTCATTCTCATCATCAGTCATATCCTCTTCGTTTTCTCCAGTAACAAGATCAGGCATGTGTACTTCAACTTTCACATGCTCCCCCTGATACTCCCTGATCAATGTAATAGTTTGATGTCCCGGGTTGTCTTCAATTTCAAAAGGGAAGTCACTTGGAGACTTTTCGTCCTATTATACACTTAATAAAAAGATCAGAAATAACATCATCTACTTGGTAATGCAACCATATGCATTACAATCTCATCATGTCATTATTAAAATGATAACTACCTATGAACAAATCAGACTAGCAGTGTGCAAAGGTTTACATATCAAAGTACAACAGACAATATTTAATTGAAATAAAATCACACTGTTGTAAGAAAGAGAGACACATGTCGAATTTATTCCCTAACCTAATGGTTCTCCATTAATCCTTAGTGAGTGAGTTTGATAATTTTTCCCATTTCTAACATGAGAATCTCTTGACCGTAAAAAATAAATGAGAATCCCTTGAATGCATTCTCATGATGTACATGGATTTTTGGCTGCAAAGGAAATCCATAGTTTCTTTTTGAATGCTGTTGAACTATAAATATTTAGATTCTATTTAAACTAAATCAAAAAAATTCTGTATTATAGAATTCACAGCCAAGAAGCATTCGTAGAGCAGAAGAACAACATAAAGCATTTAGGGAATAAAGGGAACTAAAATTACAAGAGCTATAGTCACTAGTCCAAAAAATTTCTAAGAAGAAATTTAACTTGTTGGCACAGGCTGCTCAAGTACTTCTGAGGACGTGTACCCAACTTTATTAGGACATGTGCCTAACACCAACTTTTAGCTATGTTTTGGGCAAAACAAAATGGAGAATTTATATGGAATTCATATGAAAACTCACATTTTAGTTCAACAAACATGGGTAAAAAGTTTATTACATAGATGCTAAAAATGAACTCAATTTGAATTCTAAGTGGAATGAAGCAATGAATTATAAATCCAATCAAAATGAATAGAATTTGGAACTTATGATTAATTCCAATTTCACTTGAATTTCCCAATGAGCTAAATGCTTATAGTTTTAAATGTGATTTTCACACCATCCAAGTTGAAATAGTAATGATTCCCAAATACATTCCAACAAAATCCTTGGGTTGTTTCAAACACAGCGATAAAGAATAAGAGTCTTTAAGTTAAAGGACCATTAATCCTCCGCTATTCAGAAACAAAAATTAGATATCAGAAATTAATTAGTTAAATAACTAATGCTTCATTTCTTCTCCATCTTCCCATATTTTACCAGCTAACAGACAGCAGAAAACTGGAAATAATGGCTTCACTTCAACCTCTCAAAGCAGTACTAACCCTTTGGGGGTGCTCTCCAAATTCATAAAAACAAAGACAAGACCTACTCTACAACATCGTCCTCTCATTTTGAACTACAGTTCAATTAGCAAGCGAGCTTTGAAAAATAACAACGTTTGAATTGAATCATACCTTCATCTCCCTTTCATTTAGTAAAATATGAAAAATAATTTTCTAACACCGAAAATCAGAATGATTGTAAACTTCAAAACTTGGAACTTTCCAGCATCCCGCCAATGCAACCAATAAAGGACGCACCTTCTGGCTCCAAGAGCACCTATTTCTTTCCTATTGCTCGAGGAAACAAGAAATGAAAAATAAATAAAACCAACCTGCCAAACCGACCTAATTTCTTGCATCTACCCCCGTTTCCCGATCATCCAAGCAATAATCACATTAAACCGGAAAAAGAAAGGAAATAAAACAATCACATTACCTGATTGTGATCATCGCTCTCCTCGGCACACTTGATTTCCGAGTCAATAACTCGGACGAGCAGCTCATCGGAACTCGTCCGCTTAACGGCCGTAGTGTAGTTAAAGCCAGGAGCAAAAAGACCTCGAGAGGACTTGTGAGAGAGTGGAGAGTGACTGAGGGCCGTGAAGAGAGTAGAATATGAATTTCGCTGGACTCTGGAGAATCGACTCACTAGTGGCGCTAACGAGGCGGCCGATTTGCGGAGAAGAGAAACGCAAGCCATCTTTTAACGTTTGAAGGTGCAGGTGAATTTCTTACTTCGGAACTTGGAAGGGTTTTTCGCAGAAAAAGAAACAGGGTTTAGCGAGGGTTTCTCAGCTTACGTATAAAATCTTTAATTATTATTTGGTCCCTCATTTTATTCTTATTTTTAAATTAGTCAGTGATTTCTCAATTTTTCAAATTAAGTTCCTAAGTTTTCATTCTTATCCCAATTAAACCCTTCTGTTAGATTGTACTATTAAATTTAAAACTTAATATCTTTGATTAGGTAAATCTATATATTATTTGAATTATTAGACGATTTTTTTTAATAATATTTACCTTTCTTTTATGTATTCTATAATTCTATAATTCATTTTTGTACTCTATAATAATCGGTAAATAATAATATATTTAATTTAAAAATTATAACAGAATTTTAAAAAGAGAGAGAGACAAAAAAGAGGAAAAATAACTAACCAAAAATATATAATTAGTTTTCTTTCTTTTTAACAATAAGCAAAATACTTATGTTTAAATGGTCAAATAATTTTTTATTTTATTTTTTACACATCAAATCTCATATATATATATATATATATGTGTGTGTGCGTGTGTGTGTGTGTGTGTATAATATGTGCATATGCTGCATGAACTTATAAATTCATTAAAAAAACACTTAAATTTTAACACATGCATATTTTGTTTTGGTATTTTAACTCTATTTTTCATGTAGTAGCACTATATTTTTAATCAAATTGCACTATAACATTATTTATGGGAATCTCAATCTACTATATAAAGAATGATGTTATCATATTACTAAAATAATTGTAGATATAAGACTTTATTATATCCATTATTCTTGCTTTTAATATAATTTTTTTAAATTAATTCATGAGGATATATTTCACGTTCGGTATTTTAAAAATAATTATTACTTTGTAACATACATATAAAAATTATTTAAAAGATTTACTTTAGTAGGCTGAGTCACAGACTATCCTTTTTGCTGCGACGATGGACATACATATTAATGTATCTGTGTGTATGTATGGGTGCGCGCGCATTTGCATATAAATACAATAAGTGTATATGTAAATATACACATAATATTTAAACTAAAAAAAAAAAAAGATAAATATATATATATATATATATATATGAAGGTATACTCTTTTTAACTTTTATGGGTCAACTGTAGTTGCTTGACTTAAAAAGATCTTCTTTGATCACTGTAAATTAAAGCTTACATTGTCAACTCTCAATCACTGTTTAATCACAAATTCTGCCTCCTAATCCCAATTAATCTGATAAAACAATCTGTAGGAGACTACAGTTTTCATTTTTTTCAATTAATTAATTTGGGTATTTTCATTTTTGTTAATAGATTTAAAATTTTAGTATAAATCAATTTTTTTTTTTGGCGATTATTGTATTGTAGTGCTCTACCGTTTGAATCTGCAGGTAAACATGTTTCTGAAAGGTTTCTGCTGCACCTGTTTTTTTTTAAACCATTAAAAAAAAAAAAAAAGCAATTAGAAAAGGTCCAAAAAAAAAAGGCAAACAAGACTCATCACTCATGTCATTCATCACGTGGCAGACAGGATTGACAGACTGAGACATTAGCTCTTATTGCTTACATACAGCCTGCCTTATTGGTGCCTGCAGGTACTCTTTCTTTTCTTCGTTCATGTAGAGTCAACCAACATATCACATGGTAATTTGCAGCAATACTAGCAGAAGCCGAGTATTAATTACTGGAAGAGGAACCCTGTTATAATAATATTCAATGAGGATACCAAATTTTGATACCGTAGTTATTAATTAACAAAATGTATAGATATTGATCAATCACATCATTAACGTGATCAAAACTTTTATAATAAACTTTCGTGTAAACCAATGAAGTAGGAGAAAATATTGAAAGAAGAAAGGAGAAGCTGCCGACACTAGAAGATGGGGCCTAGGAGGGACAAATTAAAAATTGCCAACATGGGATCCTACCGACACTCCCATAATAACAAAGGAATATACATTTAAAACAATTCATCAATGGAAAAGATCACATGACAGAAAAACAAACTGATAATTTATTTTCTATATACACACTAATGTTACATATCTCAGACTCATTCGTATCCCTTCTCGTGCATCTAAACAAATAGAAACCGACTCTTCAACTCTCAACTTCGAAGACTCAACACCAACTGGAATTGCAGAAAGGAGCAATGGAGGAAAAAAAAGGAACAAGCCCATTTTTCAAACAACAGTCACTTGCTAGTTCCTAAACAGTGTCTACTTCTCTGAGAACTAATAAACAATGAATGATAATAATACCTCACATGACAATCTCTGGCTTCAAAATGCTAGACTTGATCTCTTTGTGGGGTAGGACTACGCCTCCGTTGCTGTAAATTTCATCGCATACATGAACATCTTCGCCGAGAATGGTCATGTTCTCTACACGGGCCCATTGCCCAACAGTGCAGTGCCATCCGATGATACTGCTAGATATGCATGCGTGCTTCTTGATGCGCACTCCACGCATCACTGTGCAGCGAGAGAGTCTTACCCCTGACTCAACAACACAACCAGGGCCAATGGCAACATCTGGTCCAATTAAACAGCCTTCTCCGATCTTGGCAGTCTCATCCACCAAGACATTTCCCACAATGTGGGTTCCAGTTGCCAGCTTGGACGAAGATTTTTTTCTCAGGGAGTCAAGGTAGAGTCTCAGGCCTTTAATGTAGTCTCTTGGCTGTCCAATGTCCATCCAAAACCCTGGCAGGACCATGGCATAAAGCTTTTGTGCTGCTGCAATCTGAGGAAAGACCTCTTTCTCAATGGAGGTGGGCCTCAGCTCAATTCTATCAAGAACTGACGGATTCAACAGATAGATTCCAGCATTGATTTTGTTTCCAACAAATATCTTTGGTTTTTCTACAAATCTCTCGACTTTTCCTGTGGACTCTTCCATAACCACCACCCCGTACTTTGATGGCTCATCTACCTAAGGATAAGGCCACATGACTCTAATCATTTTGATTTCCACTTTGTTTCATAACTCCTCTGAAGAAGATAAATGAAAGGAAAAAGAAAACAGAGATAAAAAAATTTTAAGTTCAAATGTTACCTTTGTAACCATTATTGAGGCCTCTCCCCCATGTCCTTTATGGAATTCAATCATTTCTTTGAGTGGATACTCACTGATAACATCACTGTTGAGGACGAAAAATGGATCTCCAGAACCATCAACCAGCTTATCCCTGGCAAGAGCCAGAGGACCAGCAGTGCCAAGTGGCTCAGTCTCTTGTGAGCATGTGATTTTGATTCCAAGTTTTGTCTCAAATTCCTTTAAAAAGTTTAGCATCACCTGCATAAACAAGAAATACGCCCATCAGCATCCACATTTCAGCTACACATTATCAGTCACCAAGTGCTTCAAATCACTGCACAATTATTTACCTCTGGTTGGTAATTAATAGCCAAAACCACTTCATCTACTCCAATTGCCTTAAGAGCTTCTATCTGCAGAGAACATGGCAACACACAGTAGGATGTATGAGTAAAAAACAGAGAACGAACTAGACAAATATCTTAGTTTTCCTTTCCTGTTTCCATCTTGAAGAAGAAATCAGGCTTTATTCTGTTCCTTATAGAAACTGCAAAATGTACTAACCAAAGCCCCGACCATCCCACCAACAAAATAAATAAATAAACTCAATTATCAAAAAGTTAGAAGTTCCAAAAATTGGCACTTTAGTTAATTTAATTCTCTAGATTGTTTTAGTACCAATGAACTCATGATTGTACAAGCATAAGCTGCTTCTCAATACATGACATTAAACATGGAAATCAAAGAAATAGATTTTATTCATCTTGAAAATCATGATGGAGATTTGTACTAGAAGATAAAGAAACAAGAAGAAGCCACTTAACATCGGACTTCTAAAACAAAGATCCATGTACCTGATGAAGAATCATGGGTTTGTTAGCAAAATCAACAAGTGGCTTCGGGACACTGAGTGTCAGTGGCCTCAAGCGTGTTCCAAACCCTCCAACAAGGATGAGTGCCTTCATGTTCCTCCTGTTCCTGCAGAGACTGCAAAGCAAAATTTTTAGCAGCAAGCTAACACAGACTAACTGCGAAAAGTCCAAAACATAGTTAGCAAATGAATCACTCCATCTTCTCCCACCCAAGAAAAGGAAACAAAAAAGAAATGGAAAGCCGCATTTCTGCAGGATTCAATGACAAATAACGAGGTCTAGAACAATTATAAGGGACCTTCTGCCTGTGTTCACTGTCAGTAACCTGTCAAAGCTGAGTGAAAGTTACGCTTGCCACGAATTAAACAAGGGAGAGGAAATCCTAATCTTTTAAGCAGAAATGAGAAAAACAACTAAACCTCAAACGCATGTCACAAAATCAATTATAACTCTAAAAGCATGAGCAAAAATTTATCCAAATGGCCTAGCTAGCACTAGGATATGACTCCAGTTGTCACAGGCAAGGCAGATTCAATGAGAACAACAAATCCTTTTCATGTCATGATCAGTTACTGCATATAGGACATTGAGCCTAAAACGGAATATAGTTCCAGGGTAAGAATAGCTTTCAACTAAATGACAGAGAGTTTAAACCGCTTTATTCTTCTTTTCGTAGAAGGATTTCCCGATTCTATTCTTTATAAGTTGCATGTATTTCTATGAAGGCTCAACTTGAGAAAACTACAGAGTAGCAAGACCCAGATCAGACGTATAAATGTATACATTCTATAGAAAGCATAATTGAACACCCCCTCTCCCCTCCAACAGCTGAATCCAAAGAAATAATCATCCATGAGTGAATTAAACCAAAATCATGCTTCCAAATGCATAAAGTGAAAGCACTGCACTAAGAAAACCTAAATCTAGAAAATTTCACCTGAAGATGACAAAGAAATTTATTCTTTCAACTAAGCAGAGCAGAGCCTGATCCCCACTTACAGGATAATAGTCAAACCATTTTCCGTATTTTTTATAATATACATCAAATAAATCAATCCATAAAGCTAAAAAAAGTTTAAAACAACATTTGTTTCTTCTACATGGCGATTTTAATTATTCATCACTGGGAGTTGCAGAGATGCCCTGTTAGGGGAGCAAGTGAAGAAATCTCATGAAAACTACATGAAATCAACACAACATTAGTACTTCTTACCAGATCTAATAAAGCAGACGACGCCTACCACAATAAATCACTCCAGAAACGAGATTAAACTAAAAAGTTCTTAAAATCCCATTTGGACAAAACCAATTAAAGAAACGCGTAAACAACCCAGAATTAAACAATACCAAACAACACGTACATTGCCAAACCATCCCAAGGATCCACAACGCGTGACTCCAAAAAGAGCAAAAAAAAGCACATTAAACGAAGCCGTAAACGGCAAGCTACCTTTAATCCAAATCATAAGCAACAGCTATTCAAGCCCGAAATCCAGCATGCAGCACACGTAACCATTCAAAGCTCATCAAACCGAAAAAAAGCAACTCGAAGTAATAATACCTATCAGTAATTACCTTCAAAATTAAGACCCTCGGCGGATCCAAAGCCCAGAATTGAGTTACACGCCGAACTCGGGCCCGCGACTCACTAGACGAACGAAACTAAATTGAGCCAACGCGGCGAGTCGCGCTCCCGCTTTTTTTGGCGGACGGACACCGAACGATACGTCAGAGTCTGAGCTGTAAGAAGGGCGTTGGTTAAGGAGAGCAAAATCAGAAATTGGCTAATATTTATACACGTAAAAGATGAACTAAAAATAAATTAAATAGTTTTAATAAAATACAATTACAATCAATAAATTTAATAAATAAAATTAAAATAAATAACAAATGTGATTTTTAATATTAATACGTGAAAAAAATAGTCGGATTTGAAATGAAATATTTTTTGTTTAGTTTTGAGTTAAGGATATGGTTTGGCGTCCACAAAATTTGGCAGCTTATCACGTTGATGATGGTCTGATATGCATCATCACTTTAATGTTTTCCTTCTTTAGTTTTTTTTTTTTTTTAAATTTAATATTTTTAAAGGGATATAAATTAAAATTAACATTATCACTTAACATAAAAATTACTTTAATAATTAACTATAATTTTTTTTCATTTTTTCTTGGTTTTTTTTTTTGGAAAAATAATTGTGTAGGTAGTTGAATAATTAGTATTTGAATAATCAACATTTGAGTGATTATAATATTGGATAATTGTTAACTCATGGGATTATAATGGAGTAATTATCTTGGATAATAAAGTAATAGCGGATATACTTTATGCTAAAATAGTAGATTAATGTTAACATAATGGGGGTTTTTTTTTTTGTACGTTCTTTATGGTAAAAATAAATTAATAAATGATTGCTAATATGGGAATTTGCTAATAATATAGTTTTTATATAATTTCACTTTAAGATGGGGATTTTTGTTTTATTTTTGAAATAAAAAATATATATGTGGGATTAAACATATTTCTCACTTGATCAACTATAAATTCCAGCACTCAATTAATAGATTATGCGGTCAAAAATCTCTTTAAATTTGCACTAAGTTTTAAATTTCAGACATAATATACAAGCCAATATTACTTATTTAAATTATAAAATTGGTATCGGATGTGAAGTATATATAATTATTAATTGATAATTTGGTTTCTCGATAATTGGTAAATTAGTAACTTAAACGACCAAATCCAAAATTAATGAATATGTTTTCTAGATAATACCAAATTGGGAAATAAATTAACTAATTAATCCCAAGTCGAAAGGGACAACAAAACTTAATGTTTTAGATAGTGTAGTTATAAGAAACTGCCAAAGAAAGGTCATGGGTCGATGGTTTAATTAATTGGAGAGTGTCAACGCAACTAACATGGTAATTTGTTCTTTAAATTATTTTTAATTAATATAAAAACTAATTAATTAATCAAAATAAAGTCTTGATTAAAGTCAAAAAATTAATTCCAATTTGACACCATATCTAACCAACAATAATGTCTTGCTCGTGTATTAACCTACCATACATACATATATATTTTTTTATCGGTTAGATCATATCAACCATAATAAAATTAATATTCATTCATACATGACCCATGTTATTGTCGTATAGCGTGCAATTTAATATGCATATGCGCCGCTAATTAATCAAATTAGCATATGATTTTTGATACGTGATAATTCAATCAACGTACATATTTTATAATTATTGAATAAAAAAATATATTTACATTCATTATGTGCTGTCGAGATATTTAAAGCATTTACTATTTACTATTTTTTAAAAATTACTTTGTTTAAAAAATATTTGTATTATTTTGTGTATTTAAAAATAAATAAATACATTAAATGGGATTGAATATGATAAAATATATATTAGACTATCAAATAGAAATCACCACATAAATTCAAATATCCATGGGTTACTACTATTATTATCATCTTTATGTGTTTATTTATTTATTTATTAAAAGTAAAAATTCATATATATAATTATGAAATCAGATTTTCAATTATTTAAACCCGATTAAGTTTTATGATAATAATTTATGTTAGCTTATTAAGTCCATCTAAAAAATATATATATATATATATTAATTAGACCCATCATCTACTCACACGTATATACGTGTGTATTTATATTGGATGTCAATTTTTTAAATAATGAATTGAAAATTAAAAAGAAATTTTTGTGTGTTGTGAGACATCTAAATTCAATATAAATTGAAAAAAAAAATACAAATTTAGAAAAAAACCCCCTGTGGAGACACCAAAATCACTACTAACTAAATAAAATTTCCAATTGAGTGTGTCAAAACCCCAACCAAAATAATTAACTAACCCTTTATTTATTAGATTGATGTATGAATGTTGAGTACACAATGTCCATAAATCTCAATAAAACAATCTAATGGCTGAGAAAATGAGAAAATAAGAAACCAAGATTTCTCCTAAATTGGAATATGCCTAATAAACACAAGACTACCCTCTCTCAACTTGTTCGTACCTTGACAACACTTCTATAAGTATATTGGGACCGACCAATAAGAAAAATAATTTGACTAACAAAAATTACAATTGAAACACCCATTTCATATTACGCCAATCTTTTGATTTAGTGATGAATTGCTATATCAATTAGTTAATAATTTAAAGTAATCTAATGTATAATATATTCCAAAGTAATTTCTTATCTATTATACTAACAATTAGGGTGTGACAAACTAATAATTAATTAATGTGTTAAACAGCTTGGAATAGGGAGATACGAATGAAGAAACCAAAGCCTGTTCGTTTATTCGCCATGCAAAAATAAACTAGAAAATGCTTGGGAAATTGGTGAGCACAGCTCAGGCCACCTCAGCAATTTTTGTTGGTTTTATATATATACATATATAAAAGAAGAGCAGTATATATATATATATATAGAGAGAGAGAGAGAGAGAGAGAGAGAGAGAGAGAAATTGCTGCATGCCTAACAATGGACTAATTATGCATTCACAGTTCTGAAAAAATGTAACATCAAGAAATTTTGTTAGGCTTAATTTTGCATCATTACCTACTTCCAATTATAAAAATGAAACGGGGATGTGCTACCTTTTTTTAGTGGCTTGAAAGTTTGTACTTACAAAAGTGATTAGATTCATATGTTAATTGCAATAAATCAGGTTCAAAACACCATGATTTTGAAGTTTGCTTAATATCAAAGGCCTTAAAAAAAATGAATATATAAATTATTTCTAAAAATACATAAATATATATATATATATATCAACACAAATAGATTAAATGATTTTCATACGGGCTTTATCAATAACAGGAAATTAAATAGATTTTTAAAGAGAATTTTAAAAAACTTTTTAATTTTTTTTTTGAAACCATACATGGTATTTTCTTGACTTATTTTTTAGTAAAATAAATTTATAAATCGATCAAAAATGTATAATGTTAAGTGTACTATTCTATGATTTTATCAAAATACTTTTAATTAAAATTTATAAAATCTAAGTTATGTATTATTTTATCAACATAAGAATTATCCTGTCAAATGCTCTAGAGTGTAACAGCCTGAACCCCAATATCGGTGGGTATGGATGTTTGCTCAATATTTTAAATTAGTAGAACCGATAAATATTAAATATGCAGTGAAACTATACTTTAATATGCATATTTTATGATTGAATAACTATTTGTTTACAAATACTTGAGACACCTAAAATATAAATTAATAAAGTTTTTTTCATCATCTTCTATTAATCTTAAACTTGTTTCTTATCTCCTCTTACCTAGATGAGAAGTGAATTGGAGTGAGCTTTATGAGCTTAATAAAAAAAATAATTTTATAATGCAGACTTACATATACACATTTATGCAATATATAAAATATAAAAATATTATAATTGAGTAAATATCAAATAAAACATCACAATAACAAAATAAATCAACACACGAAACATATTTTAACTATCTCTCTTCTCATCTAACTCTTGTTTCCATTTCAAATCACGCTAGAATTCTCTCAATTCACACTTATTATTCTCAATTATCTTTTCTTAAGCATATTCTCAATTCCATTCTTTTGTTTTTCACTCTTTTCTCTTACATAAGTCTTACATATACAAAATTTGCACACATATATATACGGATTCACATCTTTCTCAAAATAAAACAGACAGATTCGCTCACACACAAATATCTCCAGTCGTATTTCATTTGGATTATTCACCCACACATATCACTCAACCAAAACTTATAGTTTCACATTATTTAGTCTTTTAAAGCTTATTTAGTTACCATCGTGTGATGCCCGTTGTATCACTATCGATAAGAAACAAAAAAGAACCCTATATCGCATGGATAGTACAGACACAATCTCACATTGGCCACAATAGATATGGTTGTTAGGTGATCCACATGCTCACATATACATATCTACATCTGGACTAGGTTTCAAATAACTATCCATGTGCAGATTTACCATGCTTACTGAACTTCAGCGACACACGCTGTAACACCCATTTTTTTTTTCTTTAGCGACATTGTCTCAATTATATTACGATACAGAACACCCATATCTCATTTCAAATCAATCATACACATAAAGAAAAATATTGAAACCAATTACTCAATTTCTAAAAGAAATTCTTAACT